TGCTAAAATATCATTGAATAATTATGTACTAGGGGTGAAATGAATATATTCAAACGAAACTCAAAACCTGTTTGCATATATATTCGAATTTAATACTATTTTGTTTAGAAATGTGTATCACTTATAGATTGAAAAAACTGCATAAACCAAACCAAATCAAAATTCGACTTTGAACCGAATTATATATAATAATCTAAATGGTACGAAAATTTTATACTTAATTATCCTAAACGAACTCTAATTTTACAAAACCTAACCGAAGCAATAAAAATTACTAAAAATTATTCTTTTGTTTTTGTATTTTATAGATATTCCGAATCAATAAGCTGATTTTATCACATAGTATTTGATCTAGTATTGCTCACATAATTTTCGTTTTAGTATCATTTTATGTAATATCCCAAAAGTTTTAATTGCTAATATAGATTTTTTCAAACAAAATCGAACAATTTTTTTTATCTTAAATATGTTTAGTTACATATCAATTGTTGTTAAAATATAATTTGAATTTTTTTTACATATCTAAACGTTAAAATAAATAAATAATTGTATTCAAATATATTTGGTAAGGAGTATAGAAAATTAAAAAAACAGTAAATTAAAGTTCATCAATCTAAACTCAAACCAAATTATATAATTTCGAATAAATTTTAATTTTTCACTCCGAGTAACTCTATTTTGGAGTATAAGTTTTCTCCAACTCATTACTCCATTTTTCACTCCAAAATGAATATTCTAATCCATTACTAAGTATATTCTTTTATAATTTAATTATTAGTTTTTAATAGTATCCTTAATTTATCAAAACTACATATTTTACCCAATTTATTTTAAATCATTTGTTTATATTGCTGTTATATAATGAATTGGACACATCAAATGCAGAATCTGCATAAAGTGTACGTATTTCTTATATGTATTATTTATTTTGTGGTAACGGAAAATCATAATTTACATTAGAAATATAATTCGTGCGTAGTTTATGGTTTTCAATATATAGTGCATCATCGTACAAGTTAAATACATGATATCCATATTCAATTTGTGCTTCTCAGTTCTCACAAGCAAGGATTTAATAAACCGTTTGTTATGTCTTCAATATATTAATCACGTTCTTGTTCAAGAATAAAAATCTATTGATCACGCTGACAAAGTATTTTTTAATAATATATTTTAAGTATAAAAGTAAAAATTTTTAAAAGTTAGATGGTCTTTTTGTAAATTAAAAAACTCAACTCCAAAATGGAGTTACTCCGGAGTAAAAAAATGGAGCTACTCCATAGTAAAAAATGGAGTTACTCTATTTTGGAGTGGGATTTGGAGTAGGGTTAGAGAACATTTTACTCCAAATCTCATTTTGCAGTGGGATTTGGAGTGGTGTTGGAGATGCCATAAACCAAACTTGAATTATACAAAACCAAACCGAATTAACCAAAAATTACTAAATATGTTGTTAAAGTTGTTGTTAAAATCTAATACAAATTTTTAGTTGCTCACACAACTTTTTAAAAACAAAAATGA